AATTTCTGTATTTTTAGTAGAGACAGGGTTTCACCATCTTGGCCAGGCTGGTCTTGAACTCCTGACGTCATGATCCACCTGCCTCAACCTCCCAAAGTGCTCTGATTACAGGCATGAGCTATCGCACCTGGACCCATTCATTTTGATATAGAGAGAAGACTGGAAGTTTCTCTCTGTGGGGGCTCACCCTGCAGAACTCAAAAATTATATAAATTATAAAAATAATAAGAGATAATCATATTGAACTATTTAAGATTTAAATTTTGCATGGAAAGAAGCATGGCTTTCTCTATGTAGAATAAAATTTATTAGGGCAGTATTATGAACATCTAATATGTTAGAGCCAGGTGCAGTGGCTCACACCTGTAATCCCAGGTACTTAGAGGCTGAGGTTGGAGGATCCCTTGAGCCCAGGAGTTCAAGGCTGCAGTGATTTGAGCTATAATTGTGCCTCTGTACTGCAACCCAGGCAGCAGAGTTAGACCCTGCCTCTAAAAAATAATAAAATGAAAAATATTGAAGTCTAAATCTAGATTTTACAAAATGAGATTTTTCCTAATGAGTCACAGACTATAGCCTACCTAATCTTTCTCTCACCACTATACTGCCCGCACCAAATACAGTGTCTGGCTCATTGTTGAGGCACTCAGTAAACATTTGGTGAATGAAAGAATCTCAGGCTCAACTAATTTTACTGTTTTGTGGAAAAGACTCATTTTCAGTGCAGGATTTTATCTGTCTTTAAAATATATTCAATAAAGTTGACCTCTCCTTTTTTTTTTTTTGTTAGAGACAGGGTCTTGCCCTGTCACCCAGGCTGCAGTGCAGTGATTCAATCATGGCTCACTGCCACCTCGACCTCTTGGGCTCAATCAATCCTCCCACTTCAGCCTTTCAAGTAGCTAGGACTACAGGGATCCACCACTTTGCCTATCTAATTTTTTTTTATATTTTTTATTTTTTGCAGAGATGGGGTCTGGGGTTTCACCATCTTGTCCACAAGGCTAGTCTTGAACTTTTGAGCTCAAGCAATCTGCCTGCCTTAGCCTCCCAAAGTACTAGGATTATAGGCGTTAGCCACAGTGTGCCTGGCCCAAGCTTTGTTTTCAATATCCAAGTTATTTTCATAAAAGAATGAGAAAAACAAAAAAAAAATTAAATGATAAAGCCTGTTCTAATCCTCTGCTCAGAGATGCCCGCTACTATACACATATTTTGGTCTTTTTTTGTTTTGTTTTTTTGGGGTGTTTTTCTTTTGTTTTGTTTTTTTGGTTTTTTTTGGTTTTTGGGTTTTGGTTTGTTTGTTTGTTTGTTTTTTTGAGACAGAGTCCTGCTGTATCCTGTATTGCCCAGGATTAAGTACAGTGGCATGATCTCCTCTCACTCCAACCTCCACCTCCTGGGTTCAAGCAATTCTTCTGCCTCAGCCTCCTGAGTAGCTGGGATTACAGGCACGCGCGACCACACTGTGCTAATTTTTGTGTTTTTAGTAGAGACAGCGTTTTGCCATGTTAGCCAGGCTGCTTTCCAACTCCTGACCTCAGGTGATTGCCTGCCTTGGCCTCCCAAAGTGCTGGGATTACAGGCACGAGCCACTATAGCTGGCCAGAGTTTCTTTGTTTATTTTGTTTTGTTTTTTTTTGAGACAGAGTCTCACTTGTTGCCCATGCTGGAGTGTAATGGTGTGATCGTAGCTTACTGTAACCTTGAACTCCTGGGCTCAAGCTATCCTCTTGCCTCAGCCTCCTGAGTAACTAGTACTAGAGGCACATGCCACGATGCCCAGCTAATTTTTTAATCTTTTTTATGGTGACAGGGTCTCGTATTGCCCAGACTAGTCTGGAACTCGGCCTCAAGCAGTCCTCCTGCCTCAACCTCCCAAAGTGCTGGGATTATAGGCATGAGCCATCACATCAGGCCTGGTCTTTTTTTTTTTTTTAGTCTTTATTTTCCATTTGGGTAGTTTATTATGATCAACATGATAAAAGTCATCTATTTGCATTTTTAGAGTGCGTAAAAGAGATGTTTTAGTAAGCTTTAAAATATTTGTATTTACAGACAATAAAAGTAAATCAACTTTTTTTTTTTCATTTTTTGTTTCAGTAAAATGATTAACCTTTCAGTTCCTGATACCATTGACGAAAGAGCAATCAACAAGAAGAAACTTACGCCCTTCATCATTCAGGTATGCATTGTTCTCCCCTCCCTTTAACATGAAATTACTGTTTGAGGACCTGTTCACAGACTTGAGGCTCTGCACTCTGTAGGTTCCCAATTGATACTTGTAAAAACTATTGAGTGTGGGATTGTTATCCAGATTATACGGACAGAACTGGGACTCAGAAAGGTTTCTGAGCTTGCCTGAAATTAATGTTGAAACAGAGGTTCAAATCCCATTCCAATTTCAAAGTTCTATGTTCTTTTCATTTCATAATGTGCTCAAGCACTACAGAGATAAGCAAAAATATATAAGCTCCTAATTAACTGGTGTGCTTAAGGAATGGAACATTTTTCTTTTCTATCAATTGAACCTTAAATTATTAGCAAAATTCCCTCAGGGAAGAGTGCCTCTTGGGATGTGGACATTGATAACTTCTAAAACTCTTTTGGGCACATGAATACTGTTGGTTCCTCTCCTTAGGCATTTTTGGAATGATAGCACTTTACTCACATGGATAAATTTACTGTGCTACTCAGCCTTTTCCTTTAGTGCCAGCATACTTCAAAAGGGAACAAATAAAAATATGTTAACTTCTCATGAGATTCTGCAAAAGGCAATAGCAATAAGGCTGAAATTTGTCTTAGCTAGGCTTTTTAACACAGAAGTCTGGAATTTGTTTTCTGTGACACATATATGGATAAAATTAATGCAAGGTATTAATTTCCTCATTGAGTGTTATTTTCAGTAAAGGAAGAAAGTAGAATGCTAAAAAATGGAAAGGTTGAGAAGCAAGTGTGTAATTTGACTGTCTTGCAGGAAAACTTGAACTTGGCACTGAACTCTGCTTCTGCCATTGGGTGTCATGTTGTGAACATTGGTGCAGAAGATTTGAGGGCTGGGAAACCTCATCTGGTTTTGGGACTGCTTTGGCAGATCATTAAGATCGGTTTGTTCGCTGACATCGAGTTAAGCAGGAATGAAGGTAATGGAACACAACTATTCTGGAAATTGTTTATTGGGTATTTTTTTCTAGTCATGCAGACGTTCATGCTCTCACTTAATGGAGGTGATTAGTGATAACTAGAATGAACATAAGGTAATGCTATAGAGTTATTCAGAAAAATAGCATAATTACATGACTTTCTATTAGAAATTCACATTTGTCAGGTACTTTACAATTAATTTTGCAACAATGACACAAAAGCACAGAGAGATTAAGGAGCTTTCCCAAAGTCCTAAAACTTGATTATGTATTTTTTTTTCCTTTTTCTTTCTTTCTTTCTTTCTTTTTTTTTTTTTTTTTTTTTTTTTTTTTGAGATGGAGTCTCACTCTGTTGCCCGGGCTGAAGTACAGTGGCACCGTCTTGGCTCACTGCATCTTCCGCCTCCCGGGTTCAAGCAATTCTCCTGCCTCGGCCTCCAAGTAGCTGGGACTACAGGCATGCACCACCATACCTGGCTTGATTTTGTATTTTTAGTAGAGAAAAGGTCTCACCATATTGGCCAGGCTGGTCTCTAACTCCTGACCTGGTGATCCACCCACCTGGGCCTCCCAAAGTCCTGGGATTATAGGCATGAGCCACCATGCCCAGCCTGATTATCTATTTTTTTCTGCTCTGCCTACGTAAATCCTACCTCTTTACCACCCTCAGCTCCACCATTTTGCACCATCTCCTTTTTTTGGAGACAAGGTGTCACTCTGTCACCCAGGCTGCAGTACAGTGGCACAATCATGGCTCACTGCAGTCTCAAACTCCCAGGCTCAAGCGATCCTCTTGCCTCAGCCTCCTGAGTAGCTGAGACTATAGGCGCAAGTCACCACACCCAGCTAATTTTTGTACTTTTGTAGAGATGGGGTTTCATGATGTTGCCCAGGCTGATCTCCAACTCCTGGACTCAAACAGTCCGCCCACCTTGGCCTCCCAAAGTGCTGTGATTACAGGTGTGAGCCTGTAATCATGCCCAGCCTATCTCCTAGTTTTAACAACTTTTATATTCTATAGATTTAGACGCCCTTCAAAATCTTCTAACCTACCCTCAATGGTCTCACATTCCTGAACCAACAGAAGGATCACTTTTTCAGCATAGATTTTTTTTTATGTCCTATTGTGGATTTATAGAATGTATTAAGCATATTCCATACAGTTCCCCTGAGGTCCTAGGAGGTACTACATTAACCTCTGAAAAGTTTAAAATACTGAACACCACTCCAAATACTCAGATTTCATTCCAGAAATCCCTAACATCACCATCTCAATCCTCAGTTACTTTGGGAGAAGATTACATGTTTGGGATTCTCAGTATTGTCCAAGTCTCATCATGTCTGCCAGAGGTCTTATTTTATACATCTATCCACTATAAGTCTTTTTTGTACTGTTAGGAATTTATTATACTTATTTATTTTCTGAGAGGGAGCCTTGCTCTTTCATGCAGGTTGGAGTACAGTGGCGCGATCTCGGCTCACTGCTACATCTGCCTCCTGGGTTCAAGTGATTCTCCTGCCTCAGCCTCCTGAGTAGCTGAGATTGCAGGTGCCCGCCACCATGCCCAGCTAATTTTTGTATTTTCAGTAGAGATGGGTTTCACCATGTTGGCCAGGCTTGTCTCGAACTCCTGACCTCAGGTGATCCGCCCGCCTTGGCTTCTCAAAGTGCTGGGATTACAGGCGTGAGCCACTGTGCCCACCATACACTTACATTTTGAATCCACTCAAAAGTACCTGCTTTTGCAAACTGACACAAGAGCAGAAAATCAAACACCGCATGTCCTCACTCATAGGCAGGTGTTGAACAATGAGAACAAATGGACACAGGGAGGGGAGACTACACACTGGGGTCTGTTGGGGGGAAATGGGGGAAGGACGGGGAGGTGGGGAGAGAGAGCATGGGGAGAAATGCCAGATATAGGTGAAGGGGAGGAAGGCAGGAAATCACACTGTCATGTGTGTACCTATGCAACAATCTTGCATGTTCTTCACATATACCCCAAAACCTAAAATGCAATTTTAAAAAGTACCTGCTTTTGAGTAAATAAAATTGTTCTAATTGCTGCCTTCTTCACAGTGGTGCATGTTTTGTTTCAAGGGGTTGAAGTCCATTTAAGAAGGAAAGAGAAAAAACAAAATAAAAGGCATTGGCTCATGTAATATATGATTTATTTTTGACAAGGTCTCAGGTGCATAGATGTTGGGCTGTTTAATCTTTTCCAGCCTTTGGTTGGGTGGAGATAAGGAGCGGAAGGAGAGCTCTATACAAATGGTCATGCTGCCTCTGCTCTTAGCATCCAAGTGTCAAAGGGGCATAATATCAAGCCGAGTCCGAAGATGAAATTTGCCTGATGGAGGTATTACTTGGACCCCTTCAGAAATCAGACAGTTTCAGCATTCTTGTCCAATATTAATCTCATTTTATGGGAGGCAGTTATTGCATAAAGACTGCACAACTTCTTTAAAACAACGTTTAAATTTAGACAGTTCTCTGTAAACGCTCAAGCTTTTGCCTATGACCTATGGAAATATTTACCAAAAAAAGCTTGGCTTCTCAACAACAACAAAAAATTATTGAGCAGGCTTTACTTGTTGGGTGCTATAGAAAATGTAAGGTTGAGACCCCGCATGGTGGCTCATGCCTGTAATCCCAGCACTTTGGGCGGCTGAGGCGGGTGGATCACTTGAAGCCAGGAGTTAGAGACCATCCGGGCCAACAGGGCAGAACCCTGTCTCTACTAAAAATAGAAAAGGTAGCTGGGCATACTGGCATGCACCTGTAGTCCCAGCTAGTCAGTAGGCTGAAACAGGAGAATCACTTGAACCCAGGAGGAAGAAGTTGCAGTGAGCCAAAATCACGCCACTGCACTCCAGCCTGGGCAATAGAGTGAGACTGTCTCAAAAATAAAGGAAAAAGAAAATAATAAGGTTGAATTATATTCCTGTTAAAATAGGCTTGAGACTTCAAGAATTAATTGATTAATGATACTTAAATACAAATACCACAGTGTTTCTAGATTACTTTAATCAAAAAGTGAGGTAAAATATTTCCAAATTTTAAACATCTTTCCCAGAATCTTTGACTTTAATCAAAAGGTTAAATAAAAGGTTCCCAAATTTTAAACATCTTTCCCCAAATCCTTGACTTTAGAAGTGTTAAATAAGAACAGTTTATACAAACATACTACATAATGTGAAAATGTAAGCTTAAAGGCCGTACCTCATTTGTTACTTGGAATGTGAAAAATAACAGAGAAAATAATAAATTGTATTATGTTATTAAATCTACTTATATATATTTATCTTTTTGAGTAGGTTATGAGTGTCTTGAAACCAGATCTATGTCATAGTAGTTTTTTGCACCTCTGTTACTCAACAGTGTCAAAAGAGTGAATCAACTTGGCATGACCATTATTATGTCATATAATGATTGTAGGATTTTTTGCTTTTTCTTCTAGCTTTGGCTGCTTTACTCCGAGATGGTGAGACTTTGGAAGAACTTATGAAATTATCTCCAGAAGAGCTTCTACTTAGATGGGCAAACTTTCATTTGGAAAACTCGGGTTGGCAAAAAATTAATAACTTTAGTGCTGACATCAAGGTAACTATTCAAAGAACCACAACATTTTGTGGGGATATAATAATAGCTGGAGGATTTCATCCCAGTTTGAGGGAAAATTCTAATACTGTATCACCAAGCCTTGTTGCCTCTTGGCCCTGAAGGTAGATTTTAGAAGAGAAGTAGAGCCAGATAAAGAGCATGAGCACCTATGTTTTATTTTGGGGAAAAAGGTTAGAGTATTATGCTAATTTGTTATGTTATAATGCTAATTTGTTATATTCTGCCTATTGTTAAACATGGAGTATAAAAGAATAGGACATGACTATTCTATTCTTAACTGCCTTTCCCAGGCCTCAGTGTACCTGTTAGTAAACACACCTAGAAGAGAGAGGAAGGGCCTTATGATTTCCTCTTCCCCTTTTTTATTTGGCTTCCCTTTTGTCATTTTATCCCACCTTCAGATGTGAGTTCCTCCAGGATGGTGATGAGCTCTTATTTATGTCTGTGTATCCTTCCTACCTCAGCCCCTGCTCCAGGGCCCTCCTGCTAAAGCCAACCTATAACACAGTATGTGGCACATACAAGACCCTCGTGTTTCTTGCCTTGAATTGATTTTTTTTAACTCACTGTTATCATGAGCAGTGAGGAAAAACGAACAATGGAGGAAGACATTTATCACATGTTGCCTTTAGCTTCTCATGCAGAGAGGGCTAACATTACTATAGCAAACATTGTGTGGAGTTCTTCTTAGCTGCCTCAACTCTGACATCCAGATGCTGGTACACGAGGAACAAACTTAAGGATCTTCATCAGATGTCACTGATTGTCAAGGCTGTGAAAACAATACTGTGCTATCATATGATTTTGTTCAGTGATGAGAGGAAGCAGTGAGATGCCTGTACTGCTGATTTCATCCATGAAAATTAAGAATAGCCCCAAAATTATAAGACCAACTGACACTTCCCTCTCTTTGAATTATACAATATGTTTGTCCAGGTTTGTTGTTGTTGTTGTTGTTGTTGTTGAGACAGCGTCTCACTTTGTCACCCAGGCTGGAGTGCAGTGGCACTCTCATGGCCCACTGAAGCCTTGACCTCCCAGGCTCAAGCGATCTTCCCACCTCAGCCTTCCAAGTAGCTGGGACTACAGGTGCACACCACGAAGTCCAGCTGATTTTTTTATTATTATTTATAGAGATGGGGTCTCACTGTGTTGCTCAGGCTGGACTCTAACTCCTGAGCTCAAGTGATCCTCCCATCTCAGCCTCCTAAAATGCTGGGATTACAGGCGTGAGCCATAGCACCTGGCCAGCCAGGTATATTTTGCTTCATGCACTAGATGCGTTCCTCAAAATCAGCAAGCCAACTGTAAATGGATTGTATGTACTGGGATGTATTTTAAATGTACAGAGAATATCTTTTTTTTTTTAAGTGAAGCCTGCTTTGAATATTTTTAAAAAGCAAAGAATTGTTTGGTAATGTGAAAACTAACTTCCAGATTATCTGTATTCAAGTTCAAATTTTCACTTGTAAAGACCTTTTCAGGGTAATAAATACAGATTTTGCTGGGTCTGCTCTTCGCTTGTTTTTCTCAAGAGCATAGGTTTAGATTATAAATTGTTTATGTAGCTTTAGCAAGACATTGGAAATTAAAGCACTTTCACAGTTGTAGTACACTGTTCCTTAGGAGGTAAATGCTATGCCCCCGAATAATAAGATCAGAGTTGCCATTTTATGAATTGCTCTGAAATAGCTTTCAATCACCTGGTTTTCCCCATTCTTAGAACCATCTATGGCACCGAGTTTCAAACTCACTTGGGTAGCTGGTTTAAAAGGCACCTCTCTAGGCAGCTCCCAGACATTTAGATTTGGTAGCTTGGGAATTGGATTCAGTAATTGACATATTGAGCAACTTCCACAGGGCTTTGTATGCACATAGACTACGAGAAACAGACCTTCGTAGTCTGTCTGGACTTTCAAGGCCCAGTAACAGGAAACTGTTAAGATCATAGCTAGAAGGTGGTCTTCACATATGGCAGGATTAAGAAATCTTGACTCAAATTCCTGTCCTCTAGAATTCCGAAGATGCAGGAATTTACTTGACACATGTGTGAAGGCTCTTAGTAAGTGTTTATGCGAGTACAGTGGTTTTCAAGCTGTGTTTTGTGTTGTCCATACAACCTGAATTCACATTGACTATTGACTGTGAGCCAACCCCATTGTTTTATGTATTGGGATTCTAAGAAAACAACATTCAAGTGATAAAAGAGTCCAGGGATTTAAAACGAAAAGAGACATTTGTTTTGTTAAGTACGTTCAGATCATAGAGGGTTCAGTGTTATTTTAGCAACTAAAATGTTTAGCATTTAATCTTTTGTCATTTAAATTTACAATTAAATACATCTGCAACATAGCTAATCTCTTCTTCATAGGTTGTGGTATATGCATTGTGCTTTGTAATGATATAACTTGTTTATTTTCTCTTTCTTCTATGCTTCCTGGATTTCTGCTCTCCTACTTTTTTAAATGCTTGTTTTGTCTATCAAGCTTATTGACTTCAGTAATTCAGTGAAGGTACAGAACTGGTTATATGTTTATTAGCATTATTTTATTGATGGCTTTAATAATTGTGAAGTCATGCCAAAATCCAGTTCATCCATATGCAAGACAGATATAAGGCCAGATAGATGGACTTTTCTGGGGAAGACACCTGTTAAATTAGAAGGCAGAGATTTGTGCCATATATTCTCAAAAAATCCAATGCAAATAGCCTTCCAAACATGAGACAATAGGATACATTCATTCCTTGTAACCGTGATCTCACTGACATATTCAATTCTTTGTAGGATTCCAAAGCCTATTTCCATCTTCTCAATCAAATTGCACCAAAAGGACAAAAGGAAGGTGAACCACGGATAGATATTAACATGTCAGGTTTTAATGTAAGTATAGCTGCTCTTTTGAATTCTACAATCTTGCAAAATTATTGTCAATTTCTTATAAATACAATAATTTTTACAATTGTATGAAGTGGATTTGGTGATTTTAAGCATTATTTTAAAATGTATTACTGTACATGTAATTCAGAGGCCAGAAAACTAGCTTAGATTTATTTTGATTGTTGGTGAATTCCATAGTTGTTGTGGTATTGATTTATATGGATGGCATAAAATATTCAAAACAAGTATGGGAAAATAAGCAACTAGAAGCTAACCATTTCCAAGTATTTGGATTATAACCACAGTAATAGATTTAGTGACTATATATTTATATATACATATATTCATTTTTCTGTGTTGAGAGTAATGTTAATATGTTTTACAAACTCCCAGTCTATGAAATCTGATTTAGGGAATTACTCTCAGATACCATGTTCCCTGGGTATGTCACTAATTTGTTTAGTGACCTTGGACAAGATTCTTCTCAAAATTGGATTTCACTTCGTTCATCCATAAAGTAAGGAGTTAGACTGGACTACTTAGTCCCAAGTTTCTAGGATTCTGTGTTTTTTGTACCCATTAGATATGGAATGCATGCTACTAATGAACAAAATCCACATATCTATCATATTATGCCATAGGATGGAGTGGATTGCACTGGCTATACCATTTTTATACTGCCCTTACCATAACTCAATTTGTACCTGACTTGCCTGCTTATATTTCTGTCTATATGTTAAATGTAAAACTCTTCAGCTCAGGTCACTCTTGGTAGGAATGAGGGGCCATCTTGTCCAAGAAGGGAGCTGTCTGGGATGGCTAGCTGTGTGATCTGATACACCCCTTCTGTAGTCAGTCCTTTCTGATTGATCTTAAAACACTCCTTTGTCACTTCCCTCTTCAGATCCGTCAAGGATTCTTCTGTTGACTCTAGAATTCAGTCCAAAATGTTCTGCTTAGCACTCACCCCACAAATCTTGTTCTATCATTTCTAGTCAGTGTTATTTTGCCAAAAGTCTGCATTCCTCACCCCAACCTCCCTTCCCACCACCACCCATGTGCCTTTGCTCATGCTGTTCTTGTGATTTTCAGTGTCCTTCATCTTTTTCAGCTTTACACCTTCTTTAGGGCCTTTTTTTTTTAAGAGACAAAGTTTCGCCATGTTGCCCAGGCTGGTTTTGAACTCCTGGGCTCAAGCAATCCTCCTGCCGTGGCCTCCCAAAGTGCTGGGATTACAGGCGTGAGCCACCATGTCCAGCCAAGGCCTAATTTTAACTCTGAAC